TGTTTATATTACTACTCAATCTTTGATTATTATTATTATTATTATTATTATTATTATTATTATTATTATTATTATTATTATTATTATTATTATTATTATTATTTTGTAATTTATCAATTTCTTTATATGCTTATATTATAATGTAATTTGTATAGAATTATAATAACCAATAAGTATTAACATAATTTAATCTACATACTTTTTATTACGTGAGAATTATGGAAAGTAAGGATAATTTAATCACTCTTAGTCAAACATACTTTTTATCTACATATTTTATAAGACACGACAATTATTATACACTTATTATAAACATATTCAATAGGATTTATAGCTCATACTCGCTTAAATTTTAACTTAACAACTTTTCAAACGTGCACATGGTGGTGGCCTAGTGGAAAAGAGGACAGATTTCAATTGGTTGATCCAATGTCCAAAACTCCTCTTTAATATTCATTTCAAGGTAAATCTGGTTACCAATTTGATGTGAAACCCGGTTAGTTCTAAGACCCGTCCAAACCGAGTTTTGGAATAATGGAAATGGAGCATTGTTTCCTTGTACAACATGATCCACTTTTCAGGACAACTCATTTTAGCACCATGACCTCATGCTAACACAGTTAAGTTGTGTATTGGTAAAGCTTTTGTATGTTAAAAATGGTCAACTTTCATTTTTCATCACACATTTCTAAAAGCCCACGACTTTTAGCCACTTTTCACTACACATTTCATGAAACCCGCCAACTTTTATCAATTTTTAGCAATATCGGACAACTCCTAAACTAGAAAATGAAGCATTAATACATTTTATTGATTATATTTTTAATAGAATATAAAGTGTAATTTGTAAACAATGGAAATTGAGTGAGCGATAGAGGTATAAAAATGAATTGAACTCTTCAAATTATCGAAATTGCAATTCATAATCAATGGATACCGCTCAAGGACAATCAGGATTGGATTAAAAAATCTTTTAGGCTTGACCAATATTTTCAAAAAATTATATGGAAAAATTAAATTTCTAAATATGCTGCTCGCCCCTTCAGATTGGTCGAGACAAGCCAAGTTCTAAAGATCACTCCTGAGCAAGAGGTCTAGCTCCAAAGTCTATAGACTTGCCAATGGACCTATCCATTATTTGAGAATTGGAGGTAACTTCTATCAAATGGACTCTATATTAATGCATATCAATTTTAAATTTTTTGTTATTTGACATAGGCCGCGTTTTTGAAACTTCCACGTCAAACGCTCTGTTCAACACATAGGCCTAACTTACTAATTATTCTCCACAATAGCCTCTTTAACATTAAAAGACAATACCCTTCATTTTAAAATTAAAAGGTCGGATTTCCCCG